TTCTACCAGACCCTCTGCAGTCTCTAATGATGTAAAACATCCACAGTTCTCCTGGCAGATGGACCATGTGATCTTTGCCTAGGTGTGTAAGTCACAAAAAGAAGTGCAGGAGCAGAATGTTAGCCCTCGTTCACACCTGAACGTTTTGTAGCGCGTTCTATGCTCGACGAACGCTCAAAAATCTAAATCCCATTGTATTCAATGGTCTCGTTCCCACCTTGGCGTATTTCCGCCCGTCCCTAACGCGCTACAAAACGGCCCACGCCTGAAAAGGTACAGGTACTACTTTGGGCCGTTTTGTTGCGCGTTTCCATTGGGTTACAGCCAAGTAGCCTTCTGAAACACGCGACGGTGGCGCAACTTTTTTACCACGAATCGCGGTAAAAAAAACGCGCGACAGACGCGCATATGCAATACGCCTAGGTGTGAACGAGACCTTATAGTATTGGCAAGAAAAACCTAGCTGGCCTTTTCGATGCAATGACAAGCCCTCTTGAACCGTTGGCTCTTTTTTTTTTTTTGCAGTCATGATGGGTTCGTTGCTGGCAGCGACCACAGAATCACCGGGCGAGTATTTCTTCTCGGATGGCATTCGGTTGAAAAAGTACCGCGGCATGGGCTCTCTGGACGCCATGGACAAGAATGTGAGCAGCCAGAAGAGATATTTCAGGTGAGGGGTTCAGTTTTTAGCCGTGGAGCCGTTAAGCTCTTGACGCAAACGCTTTAAATATTCCACAGTGCCATGCTGGGCCTTGTGTCTCCGGAGCAGCTTACAGCCATAGACCTGTGTGCTGCAGTGAAATGACGGCTCCATCAAACGCAAAGTCCAGACACCGCAGTATCGCAGTCACTGCATCAAAGAAGTATGAGGAAGACTATTTGCCAGCATAGGACAAAGCAACGGAGGACTGTCACAGGTGCTGGGCTGAGAAAGGGGCCCTTAGTGGCCCTGAAATGCTGCTCTGTCCTATGGTGGCGAATAACCATCTTCCTTATCCTTCTCTTTTGATGCTATGCCACTGATACCGCGGTGTCTGGACTTTGCGTTTGATGGCACCATCAGTCATTTCACTGCAGCCCCCAGGTCTATGGCTGTAAGACTTGCGCTGGATTACAGGTGTACAGCATCTGTGCCATAGGTTGTCTGTACCTCTGCCATTGTGCACAACGCTGTGGAGTCGCTCCTGTTCTGATTGGTGCAGTAACGCGTCCTCTGCAGCGTCCTCCTTGTTACATCCATGTTTCTCTCCTGCAGTGAGTCTGACAAGATTAAAGTGGCTCAGGGAGTGTCTGGTGCCATACAAGACAAAGGATCCATTCACAAGTTTGTCCCGTATCTGATTGCTGGAATCCAGCACTCCTGCCAGGATATCGGCTCCAAGAGCTTAACACAACTCAGGTGAGTGAATGAGCCGCCATGTCCCTGGCTGAGGCCGGATATAGAGCCGGCGTAAGTGTGCTAGACGTGATGTACAATGGCTTGTGTAGAGGAGAGGGGCTCAATCTGGGCAAGTCCTCAATCTGACTAAGAACTGGACTACATGAACAATCCCTGACCTCACAATATATACAGCAACAGTATCATTTATTGTTTTGTGATAAAGCATTAAGTGAACTCCAATCAGTGACTTTGCCTAGGCTGAGGTGATGTCACGAGTCTGCTGCAGACAGGATGAAGCATTTCCTCAGTCTACTCTCCCCCAATGATGACTCTACAATCTAAGTTTGTAGCAAGTCACAAGGTGAGAGGCTTCTCTAAGAGAGAAAAGCAGATGAGGGCACAGGGGGGAGTACTGCGATCACTGTGAGAGTTGATCAATAGCTGGAATGTTACACTTGTACATTACTGAGCATTTATGGGCTTGTTCAGAAATGAACTGCCTGACCTATCCCTCTAGTCGTCTCAGCTGCCTGTAAACTAACATCCCATAGATCTGAACGGGGCTGTGTCTGTACCACAGGAGAATGTCCTATTCAAGGCTATGGGATGTTGTTGATTTAATATCTTGAATGGCTCCTGTATCGTCTATACTGAGCTGTGACATCCGGACCCCTTACACGTCTTTTCTTTGCCCCCCTGTAGAGGGATGATGTACGCTGGAGAGCTCAAGTTTGAGAAGAGGACCAGGTCTGCCCAGGTGGAAGGAGGAGTGCATGGACTCCATTCGTAAGTCTCATTCCTCTGTCATGTATTTGTGTGTATTTGTGTGTGTTCCAGTCACTGAGCTCTGATGTAGAAGTTTCTAAAGCTTTGATCCAGTCCCAGGAAACCTGAACAGAACAATTCATAGGCTGTCCGTGCTGAACTCTTACATGATTGGCTGTTATGATGATCCAAAGATTCCACTTTCAGCCAAATTGGCATAACGTCTTTTCTGTCCCCACTCGCATAGTATGACTTAGTCTGGCTTTCATGTGTATTCTGAAAACTCCAACTGGACTTTCAAAGAGAACTATGGGGGGTGTAACCTTTTTATCCCATAGTTCTCTTTTAGGGTCACCGGAGGACGATACTAACCTCCTCCCGTGACCCCAAACTCAGTATATTGCCTGCTATTTACTGAGTGCGCTGCAGCCGGATGGATCCTGACAATACTGTTGAGAGCCACCCGGCTAGCTAGCTGAGTGACAGCAGGCTCTGCCTAGCTAGAGGCAGAGCCAGCTGTGCTCGCCCCTCCAGTCAGCGCTAGAGGATCGGAGAGGGGGAATCCCTGCAGGGAGCCGTGCCTGTCAGTTCTCTCTTCTCTTCTCTCTCTCTTCTCTCTCTCTTCTCTCTCTCTTCTCTCTCTCT